CCCCAAAACCCCAAAACCCCAAAACCCCTGCCTTCAATGGAGTTGTTGAAAATAAGCATGGAGAATAGGATAAGGCATCCAAAATAATAATCTTGAAGGCCACTAAAGAGCAATACAAAGCTAGTGTACTAATTGTTAATGTAAGGTAATGAAAATAATGTATTTTTAGAACCCTCTGATAGGATCTTCGTCCTAATTAAAGGTAAACAGGTATCCTGCATCTCCTGGTTTTACTTGCTTGCTATCATCAGATGGAGTTTTGTCATCAATAGCATCACTGAATGAAATAATTTTGGACTTTTTATTACTCACAGGCTTTCCTCTTGGAAGAGGTTTATTTTTCGACTTAATCACTTTTAATAAAAACTTTATGTCCATCTGAGTTGAAGACTTTTGGTGCTTATATTCTTTCATATCCCTTTTCTGCCTAATTTCTGTTTCTCCAAAAGATGCCTGGGATGCCTTTCTTCTATCTGAAACCTATTTTCATCAGATATATATTCATGAAAAGGTTTATAATTTTGAAATTCATAGAATTTTCATATAATTTTGAGGTATATAGATAAAAAAGAGAACAAAAGTTTATCACTCCATTTTAATTTTTTTGAGAAATTTAGAACTAGGTCAAAACTAATTCAGAAAATTCCATTTTTGTTTTCCAATAATATAAGTTATCGAAACATCACTTTTTATAAATTATGAGTATATCTCAGTGAAGACTCAGTTCTAAAATTACCTAAGGCTATTACAAAGAATATCAACACGGATTTTAAACCTGCTACCTCTTCTATAATTAATATTTTTAAAAGCATCTCAAACTCAAAATACCAAGTGTCAATGACAACCTTAAAATAGATAGTATTAAATTTCTCAGCTTATTTATTTCTTTAGATTATTAAAGTACTAAAGGAGACTCATCAGGGTTGTGCCTACAGCATTCATAGTATCACACTTAGACTCATTGATTATTCAGTATCCTCCTATTTTACAAGGAAGGGAAATAAGAAATACTAAGTTTTATACTGAAGTAGGCTAACCTTCGATGGTATATGCTGAAGAAGAGGAGTTCTTAAAGCTAAGCCATTAAATATCCAAAGTTTCATTGCAAATTTAAAGTTTGGGATGTAAAAATGTAGAACTCAGCACATAATACAAGTTTTGGTGATTTCAGCATATAATAATCAACCGTAATGATCACAAATCAAATATTTGCAAAAGTATGCTGAGGATATATAATTACCGATTCAAATGAGAACTCATAGGCGTCTCAGTCTCTATTTTTGAAAAATAGACCAGATAACGGTTTATATTATATGAACCGGACAAAGGTGGGAAGTCAGAAAACTCAAATACAAAGCTATAAGAGCCAATAAAAGAACTCATTATTTTGAAAACAAGCCATACCATTTTCCTGAGATGGTCTATCTGGATATCTTCCACAAAACGAGTTTTGCTATTCTCCTTGATATTTCCTTTATCTGTCAAAAGTTTATTCTTCTTTGCATGAGAAGCTTCTATAGAAGGAAGGTTAAACCAAACAGAAATAAAAAAGGATGAATAGCTATACTTTAAAAGGTATTACTAAAAAAATCTCAAGACATCCTTTTAGCTCGTAAAATGGCCAATAATTTCAGTCAAGCAACTCTTTAAATAATATCGATGATTTTACAAAATTTGAAGGCATTTTGCTATAAAATTTACGAAAGGAACCAGTGCGAAGGCACTACACACCAATTCGTGTAAACAACATCTTCGATTGACTAATACCGCTAGATAAAGTAATCGCTGCGTCGCTAGAGGAGTCTTAGTGCAGTAAGAGGAATTCATCAAACAGCATTATAGGCAATCAAATTTTAGAGTGGTAGGATGTTTGAGAAATGAAAGAAAGCTAATCATTAAGAATAAAAGATTTTCGAATACGCTTCTTAGTTTAGAAATAATTCAAAGATGCTAGCTATTAGTTTTCATCTCTCGGATCTTTAGAATTGAAGTAAATTGTAGAATTTAGAAAAATGGGTCCTAAAGAGGTTTACTTCTAACAATACACAATAAATACAAACAAAAGGACTACTTAGGGAAATGTTCGCAAATTTGCTTGATATATGCAGTGAATTCTTACTCAATCTTCATTTACCATCCCCATAATCTCCATGTAATGACTGAACAATTGTGGTAGGTTCATCAGGGACTGAAAATTCTTCATCTTCAAGATTACAGTTGAGTAAGGTTTTGCCGGCTTCACACGAGAACCGTTTGGCAATCTTTTCTAGTGTAGAGTCATCAACCAACTCTTCTTTCTGAGAATTCCACATTTAGATAAATTTATTGTATAAACCCTCTTAACTAGACCCTTTTGGGGTTTTGGGGTTTTGGGGTTTTGGGGTTTTGGGG